TGGACGTTAGCAGGCAGTGTGAGATGGGTGCATGCTCATTCTTCGATCGAGATTAAAGTTTATGACGTATCGGCGTGACCCGGGCAGCGCGAGGACACTATTTACGCGCGAGCCTGCGAGATACGAGAACCTCGGTGATGGCGACACGTTTGCGAATGTTAATGCGTCAAAGTAGCACGTCATCGACGGCTAATCTTACTAATTACACATCTCGTTCGTCGCGAGACGATTTTTCAACGTACTTCTCGTTTTCCACTCAGTCATACAGATAAGATACAAGGGAGAGAGANGGGGGGGGGGGGGGGGGAGTAGCGGCCGACGATATCGAAGACACGCGTTCTTGAGGATAGTTTGCGCCTATTTAGATGGCCTATTAGACTAACAAAAACCTACTTTGATGATATTAACACTTACTAACTTTTTTCTTGTACCTTTAATTCTACAGATTTAATTTTAATGTTACCTCGAACTAATCTGTTTTAACGCTGAATTAACGAAAATGGAAATTTAAGACACTATCAGGGTATCAAAGTAGGATTAAGTTATTTTATTAGAATTGAAATCGAACCTATTTTGCTATCTTTGATCTTACTGTATTATAGAACTTAACATAAGATTTCAAAATTTCGACTTCGAATTCCTGTATGTGACTGCGTATGAGGACAATAATTATTATTTAAAAAATATATATATATATTAAAAATAACTTCACAATATATATATATATATATATATATATATTAAAAATAACCACGACGATAGGGCGGTGAGATTTTCGAGAGCCGACAAGTCGAGAGTTTTACAGTTGAACGCTTATCGCGCGGCCGCCGATAAATGGATAAAGGTCAGAGAGTACTAACTACGTGGACGATGTGTCCGCGATATACGGGAGCGGCGCCGTGTTAAATATATAAAAGTCGGCGGCCGTGTGACACGCCGATTGCGCGTGAAATTGTTAAACGCTGCACGCATTATTCCGCCGCCGTCCGTTTCTCTCCGCGGCGCTGATAATTCTGTTTAATGACCGACGCGGCACGTTCGCGAGCGTCGCACGCGACACTTCGCGCGGCGAAGACGCACGATACTCAGGGAAATGTTTTGCTAGTCGAGCAAGAATTCTAAATGTCACAAGTAAAACGTATCGCTATTTTTTGAATCTGCTAGAAAATTGTCTGTGATACGTATAATTTACAGCAGCAGCAGTATTCTAGCAATATGTGCGAGAAAATGTAGGTCCTGTTATTAATTTTCAATAAGAAACGTGACTGGCTTTTATCCGGATGGACTCCACAGAGAGATTTTTTTGCTAAATTAGACAAGTATTTCAGGTAAAAAGTTTCTGTCTCTGTCGCTTATATTGATTAGACACAACACATATGTGACATTGAAGTGTTCGCGAGACATTTATCCTTTTTAGCTAATTTCTCGCGTCTAGATAAATTTTGCTATGGTTGTAAAGTCAGTTTTTTGAGCGTATTATTTTAAAGCGCCGAGAGCTGAGCTGATTGATCGGACTGCGGGAGAATCCGATGGAGGAGAAGCGGCGGCATTTGACGTACCGAGCAACACCCGGGAATTCTCACATAAAATGAATGAGGCGATATTTTGGCTTTATGTCAAATCTTTAATTTACGACACAGTAGGGGGGTGATACAATAAAATGTGGGTCCCACTCTAATGATATAATTTACTGCTACACTTTGACCATGATGTCTGAAATTTTCGTCTGGGCTATTTATACCGTCAAAACAGATTGTACACAGAAAAAAGTTTGGTTGAATTCACCAGACAGAGTGAACAAACCAAACGTGTTTTCGTTGAAGGAAACAGAATTTATAGCTCTAATGGCCCAAATTTGGTTCTTATAACCAGAAATTCTGTTTCCTTAAACCAAGACGCGTTTAGTTTGTTCATTGTCTGGTAAATTTAACCGATCTTTTTTTCCTATATATTACAATAGGTTTCAAGAGAGAGGTTAACAAATGTAGTATCGTCAAAGTATATTGAGAGAAAAAATATCTAAAATTAAAAATGTATATTCTGTAAATATTAATAACATTTTCTTATACTAATATACATATTCTTATACTAAAAACAATTTTTTTCAAACGAGAAAATATATATTTTCTTAAATCTATATCCACGTAAAAGCAATTATTTAATTTATATATTTGAATAAAAGGATTTAGATTTAAGTAAATATGTTATTAGTACTCACCGAGAAGTTTATTTTTTAGGTTTTTTTTTCTCAGTATAGGTTTTTATTAGTTTACAGACATTTCCGTCTAAATAGACGCAAATTGTTCTTAACTCGGGAATAGTCACCTGGGATCGTTTCATACCCCAGTGGTAAGAAAATGAAGTTCACATCGCAGTGGGTTTTTTTTATTGATCGGGAGCCTATACCTATCTTTCATTTGGACATTTAGTGACCAACCTGTGCAACAAGAATTGGCTGTGATCCATTTTTTCATAGTACAAACTTGTAAAAACTCGTTGGAATAGAAATTGATCCCAAGTGATCGCTCACGTTACAAAATAGTCAAGTGTGGTAAGAGTTCGTATCATGAATACAACATAAGAATAAGTTTGAATGAAGTTACCCAACAGTAAACATTAAGCAATATTTACATTACATCTGATACTGACCGATAAATATATCCAGAAAAATAGGCAAAGGTGCAATGATTAAATATCTAATATTTATATTTACTGTTTGATGAAATGAAATGAATACGTGTATCTTAAACTACATTTTTCATTTAATATTAAATTAATACGTCAATTACTTAACGTTTATCGTCAAACTAGGTGTTTATTAATCTATAGGCTATTTAAATATGCGCAAATTGAAGATTGCCGAAGTGGCATCGGAATTTCGATTCGGGATAATGAGCTGGCGAAACGTCGCGAGAACAGAAGAGACGAATGCGCGTGCGCGGCATGACGTCGGGGGACGTTTTTCGCTCAAGGAGCGCACCGAAACGCGCGCAAACGACGGCAACGTCTATGAATATTTACTGCCGGAAATCACTCGACAAACGCAACTTTCCCGCTGCAGGCAAATAATGGCGAGCGAGCGGGCGATAAGAGCCGTCGTCGCCGGTGCTTCCTGCCGGCGGTGTGGTGGTGCGCGCCGCGTCGTAAAAATCGTCCCGGCATATAATAAATTGCTTCTGCGATTCTCGCGACGTCGCGAAAGAAAGTTTCCTGGCTGAATCCGCCTGGCAGGAGGACGGACGAAGGAGAAGATAGAAGGAGAGGAGGAGGAAGAAAGTCGACAGGAAGAGTTCGCTGGAAAATCTCGCGGCAGTTTTTGCGCGTAAAGCGACTCGTATCCAGGAGTTGCTTTACGCGCCGCTTCGCTCGAGAAGTGGTTCCACCGGGAATACATCCAACCCCGACGTAGCCTCCCTCGCGCGCTCGACAGAGAGAGAGACCTGTCCGCAACTAATAGCGCAGCCGCGCGTGTTCATTAACCACATCGCCGATTAATACAGCGGCAACGGTCGTTATAGTCATGCCTATTAAGTTAGCCTCCCCCCACCATCATTATAGTCGTCACGAACGCCTCAGCCGAGTAGATTGTCTATTGTTGCAAAACCACTCCCATTAGCTGCTCAGTGTGTCAACATTGACCGGGCCGATACGTGTGATATAAGCGTATCTCCCCGGCACGACGGCATGCAGTAGACGCGCATTCGCGGCGAATTAAACAAATTATCCCGATGTGCCAGTGAGCATTCTGCACCACTCTCGGAGACTATCCTCCCCCTCCCTCCCTCCCTCTCTCTCAAAATAGCCGACCACGTTAAAAATACATTATACGAAATGTTTCAGAATGATGTTAAAAAAATTTAAGAAAAGATTTCTTTTCTCGAAATAAGAAAAATGTTCCTATAAATATGTGTCTCTGTTAAGGATTCGATATAGGTCATGTCGACGCCACATCATCCTTGACATCAGGGTGCGACGGGGACGGGTTGTCCACCCGTTAGGCGCGCTCGCCTGTCTCGCGAGCGAGAACAGTCTCGCTCCTGCGAGCCGCGGCGTCCGCCGCCGGGAGGCGTACCGCTCGACAAGTCCGCTCGCGAGCGACATTACTCACGAGCGGTTATATAGGCTCGCTTCTCGAGGGAACGATCTTGCGCTGAACCGCTTCTAGGCAAACGGCAAATGATAAGCTATGAGTGGTGCGTCCGTTTCTCCGCACGACCAAGTGCGTTTGTATTGTGATCTTTATTTCTCTATGCGTTGAGATAATCAGCGTTACGCTTCTCAGATCGAATGATGAATTATTCCTTGCTTACTAGCGATTTTATATCGCTGTTTTTTTATATACGGTCGGTATGCTACGTATTAGAAATACACACTGAAAGGTGCGGCCGAAAATAAGTACTTTTTGCAAATAAAATGACAACCGTCACGCATTAAAATATAAAATTTTAAGAATGTTTTAGTGTTCATGGAAGGTCATATTCCGAAGTAGGTTTTCGTCCCGAGAAAAATTGTTGGGGGTTGGAAAGTAAAGGGTTGACTATCCTTATATTGTCTATAACTTTTTGTTCTTGAAAATTTGTTCACTCTGTCTTACTGTCGCAATTTTTAGATTTTTTAGGCGAAAAGGATATTCTTATCTGAAGTCGCTGAAGAACGACTGTTTTCGAGATATTTCGATACATCTTTTATGGTATACGAACAAGGAAATGGCTGAAATAACCTTTTGTACAAGCATTTAAGTTTTACTACTTTGCATTAGTACTTTATAACTAATTACTTCTGCTCTGCTCATTTTTGATAAACGTTTTTAGAGAGCTAAGTTTTAAAATGATAATAAGTGCATCTATCTATTTATTTATTTTTTTCCCCCCGAGAATGATAGAGAGAGAGAGAGAGAGAGATGGAGCTCAAAAGCGATATTATTCGGCTGACGACGTTGTCTTCGTACAGTTTCACGGATATTTCTCATCGAACCGTCTGGTGGTCGTTTCTTGTTGCAGGACAACGAACAGCTAATCACGCTCGTGCACTTGACGGACTACAACGTCTACAGGATTCCGAACGCGAAACGGTGTTTCGGCGCTCCCTTCGCGTGGGGCGCCTGCCTGAGGCCGAACAGCAACGCCGAAGCCGAAGACACGGAGGCTGGGGAGCCCGGGCTCAAGGTCATCGCTTTCGACAGCGAAAAATCACGCGCGTGCTGGCTCACAGCCATGAGGCTCGCTAAGGTAAGCGCGACCCTATCTCCTTCGCTTCCTCATCGCGGTCCGCTGCAGAAACGGCGATTCGGGCGCATCGCAATTTGTGGCCGAGTGGGCGCGTCGACCGACTGGTTACGTACGAAATCTCTCACCTTTTCCTCTGTCCTTCTGACACGCGAATAGTACGAACTTCTTTCTTTGCTGTATTGAACATGTTCTGTACCGGGGATAATTTTACCGAATTTCCCGTGGTCTGGTGGTCCAAATTGTTCTCTTATAAGCGAAATATTATGTGTCAAATAACATACTCTTTAAAGCAGTCAGAGTATTAGCACTGAGAAGTAGTCAATAGTCACTGTAGTCATAGTTATAATTAGAAGAAAAAAGAAAGCATCAATACTGACATGCCATTTTGTCTTTGGCCTCTAAAATTCTGTTGAGAGTGTAGAATTAAAATTTACGTGCATGGATGCAAAGCGGTAATATTTCTCAGCCAAAATGTATTGTAGTTTTTTGGAAATTATTATACATACTGTTTTGCAAATAACTACTTTTTAAGTTAGGGAAATGCCACTTTGAGAAAATTAACCCCAAAATTGCTATATCTATGATACTTACCATAAAATGTCAAAAAATGAAGTGAAAGTACTGAAATTACATTATTTTGTATAATATTGTATGAAAAGAAGAATTCCTTGATTTTTTCTTTCCGACCGTCTCAAGGGAACATTGGATCTTTAAAATAACCAAAAAATAAGTTTTTAGATTTTAATCATTTCTTACAATCTTTTAATGGTGTTTTGTCGTTTGTTGAATTTAAAAATATTGAAAATTACGATTTTGGTAGCTAAAAACGAAAGAAGCGTTCGAATTTTTCAATATATTTCGTAAAAGAAAAATGCTACTATATCAGCATTCTATATTGCATTAAATATGTCAAACTTCTTGAGAGATGTTTAGGAAATTTTACACAGAATGCGAATGAAAGTGTCCATTTATTAGTACGGAAAATTGTTTCTAAATATAATTTCTCTGAATTAGAAATTATAAGTAAATAGCTAAATATTTAAGTGCAGCGATGTTTAATGGCGGATATAAAAAGAATGTTTAAACGTTTTAAATAATTTAAATAATTTAAATGTCCATTCGAGTAAAAGAGTTGTTAAATATGTTAAATATATGTAAATTAAATCAATTAAACATTATTAAGAACATTTTTAGTAATGTCATTGACAACATCTTAAGAATGATTAAAATAATAAAAAGAAATAATAAATAATATCTTTTTTCGACCGCTTCCGTCGTCAGATTTCATCGATGGAAACAGTCGCTGCTATTAACACATTTTTTAATGAAATTTTAACGAAAATTTTAACGAAATTTTTCTGATATATACTGCAGCAGAAAAGTATCAAAAGTGACACAGCTATGAAAAATCGACGTATTGATATTTTTCGACAATAAGTACCGAATTCTATCGAACTCTGTTACAGGTTGCAACAGTTTTTTTCTTACATATTTCAGTACGCACAAAAAATACGATGAAGCAAACTTATGATTCATGATATGCGCAATAGATTGTCAGACAGTTGTCAAAATTAGATACGTATATATAATTAGATATGTTTAATTGATTTAATTTACATCCTGTTTGAGAAAAAAACACGCTTATCTTAATGGGACTCAAATCTGAAACCTTTGGCTTTTGAGCCTATTACTGTACAAAATACGACATATGTTTGAATGCATGTATATCTATACGTAATTTTGCGGGGCGCGTAACAACAGTTTGCAATGAATTTCTCATTAGTCAATCATCAATGAAATGTGAAGCCAAAAAGCGGAAATGTTGTAGCTAAAAATGAGCGAATATTCATTCTTTATCGATGAATTATTGCTTTACATTGATTTCGTCAATGACATTTTCTCACTGATTCGATTTAAGAGAATGTGCATCGTAATAATTATCATAATTATATTACTTTTTGGAGCCCTAAAGTACTAAACTGGCCTGCGGAAAGTTCAGCGTGTACCACCGGCGGTACACATGGTAACGTGTTAACTGAAATCACACGCTTTGTTCGCCAAGCACCGATTCATTTGAAATGATTATATGAGTACATATAAAGGTGACACCGAGGATACTGCTAATCGACTGTACGAAGTAAATTAGGAGTGCAGGCGTACACGAGTAGTTGCGGTGGCGATGGTGACGGTGGTGATGGTGGTGGTGGTGGGTTAATGCCTCCGGCAAATAATCGTTTTAAATTACGAAAGGAATCCGAGTTAATATTATGCCGAGGGGAAGAGAGACACTTGAATTCGCGGCGAGGATAATGGAGTTTACAAAGTATCGTCAGGATGTTCGTTCCCAGCCGATCCCAGCGTGTCTTCTTATTTGGCCCCGGCTCACTTCACGACGTGACCATCCCTCTATCCCGGACGGAGCCGCGGGTATCATTAGCTCCTCGATGCCCGAGTATAATGAGCCTTATTTTCTTTCTCTATCTCTTACCTCTCCCTCCTCCCCTCTCTCTCTCTCTCTCTCTTGCTGCCCGTCGACTCGAATGTCGAAACTTCTCGTGAAGTTCAGAGAAGTTGCGTGACTCGCGCGGTTTCGTGTTTAGCGGAGAGGAAAGAACACTTCACTACTCACTGTCGACGTGCGTATATAAACGCACTGCACACAACTTCGACGCGTTTCGCGTGGCAGTTTCTTCTTCCTTCCCTCTCTTCTCCTTTCTTTTTTCTCTCCCTTTTTTAAACAGTGCAGTCGTAGCACTGACACCGTACGTTTTTCTTTATTCTCTCTCTTTCTCTCCCCCCCCCCCCTCCTTCCCTCCCTCCCTCTTTCTCTTNTTCCCTCCCTCCCTCTTTCTCTTCCTCTGTCTCTGTTTCTTTTTTTTTTAACGAGAATCGAGCTCGTGAGACACGAGGCTCTCCTTTCCCATCGACGTCGATAATATCGGTTTATTCTTGAGTGCAAACGGTCCTCTCTTTCCCTCGCTCGTCGAGCGAAGAGAGTAACTCGTGGCTGGTAACGGTTTCCGCTGGCAATGCGCAACCGGCAGCTCCGCTGCGAGTCCAAACCGCGACCGCCGCCCACTCCCTATTACGTTACTTTTTAGAGGCCTACTCTTCCTCGGGCTAGAGTGGCTGCTCAGATTACCTCTCCAGTCCGGCTAGTCCCCAGAAGTGGAGCCCGGCGCGGAATCATCGTCACCCTGTACTCCGCTGAGGTTTTACTAGTCACGCGACGAATTACGAATTGATTAAAAAAAAAGAACAGAGTATATATGTACATATTTATAGTTTCGATATTTCTCACCATTTAATGCACCATCAATAAAAAAAGGACCTATTATTTTCATTATTCCACACTAAATATTGACTGACCATGGGCGTTGATGTTCTACTTCTCGTAACCACCTCGGATTATCTTTTGACTAATAGTGCACACGATGCCGATTAACTTCTCCATTATTTGTGAAAGTAGGTTCAGTAAATAATATATAACGAAAAAAATCCTTATTATTTTGTGATTGATATCCGGCCCATTCACAAAATGTTACACAATTTATCTCCGTGAAGTTTTCGGTGTAAAAATACATGATATGGATGGAACTTTTGACACTTAAAAATTCTCTGGACATTCATTTCAGATATTCCAGAAGCGCCAGAAATTAAACGAATACTCACATCTGGATTATGAGCAAACTACAGCTAACACAGAAAAAATTTATTATTTTGGTCCGTAGCTATTTTTCGTTGTATGCATTTTTTTGATTGTCGATATTTTGAGAAAAAAATCTGTTTCGCTACATGATAAAATGAACAACATGATGGACATTTTCTTTTAGAATGCTGCGAAGCGTACAAATGAATAGTCTCATCAGTATTTCTTCCTGATTTTCCACAAATAAATTTTTTTTTTAATTTTCTCTAAAACTATTAAGTATTCCATATTTAACTCACAATGTGTAAGTCATTTAATCGAATAATTTTATAATGTATCATCCGTACACAAACAATATGCACACATCCACACAATATCCGAGAGAATTGCCGAATTACTCCACAGAAATTGAACGACTGCTGTGGTACTTACTATCTCCGACACAAATCCTTTGCAGCGCGATAATGTCTACTTGATCAGATTAAGATAAGATCAGAGGAACGAAGAACGCGCTACGTTCCGATTTTCACGAAAATTTATAAGATTTGTGTCGGAGCTAATAAATACCACGGGATGGTCCAGTTTGCAGTTTGTGTTTGCGAATAAATAGACTTTCGGAAATCAAAAGAAATGCACTTTTATTAACATAAGAAAATGCAGTACTTAAAAGTTGATAAAAAAATTCTGAAAAGAATTCTTAGAGCTCTATGAGAAGAAAATACACAATTTTTGTCTCTTACTATTTTTCTTTAAAGTTGATAGAATTCGAGTAAAAAATGATTGGAGAGTTAATAATTTTATAACTATTTCTCTGAATATCGTAAAAAATAGAGTTGTACGAGAATATATTTTAGACAAAAGTTATTTGTTCTTTGTTTATGTAGAATAATATTCCGTAATAAAAAAAATATAGGTTTCCGTTAAAAAAAACAAAATTAGACAAACTTGAAATAACCTTTAAAACGCCCATGCGTTAAAAAACTAATCATATAATTTTGATCGCCCCTTAAAATCATGAAACGTGTGTTTTAGCCTTTTTTTTTAATTCGTTATTTTTAGGATATTTCGTTGTATCAACTTAAATGATACACCCTATATAAGGAAAAATGGTTTATTTTTGGAGATCTTACAACGATGGTTATCAATTGATGGCGATAGTGTGTTATTTTCGGCGCTCAGCTCTGTGCCACGTGTAACGACGCATCCCCCCGGCGAACACCGCAGCCGACCGACTATCCGTCGGCCGCAAAACGGCGCTCAGCGCCAACAAACAATGTCACGCGCGGCGCAGCCGTAGGCAACAGCAATTGTTGTTGCCAAACAGATGTTGATCAACTTTGTGAACGGAAAT